ATTCGATAATTTTTATAAGGTTGAACTCGTATCGAAACGGGTGTTCAGATTTTGTGAGTCTTTTTGGGATTTGAGACGTGGGTCCACTGCCGATTTTTAAAATGAATTTTGAATTTTAATCCGAAAAATTAGTAAATTCATTTGGAATTAATTCCTACGATTTGTATTGAGTATATTAAATTATTTATGACTAGATTTGAGTCTTACAGTCATTAATTCACGAGGCGAGAGTTTATTGGAATCTTGAATTTGGTTGCGAAGCGAGGTAAGTGTCGTGGTTAACCTTGACTTGAGGGAATAAAACCCTTGAATGATTTGTTATATGAAATTCATGTGAACGACGTATAGGCGAGGTGATGAGTATCTATACGTCATCAAATTAATTATTTAAAATTATAAATTATTTTAAGACATGAATTAATTATTATATTAATTGTTTCTCTCATATTCCATGCTCAATATTATGCCTTGAATCCATGCTATAATTGTTACATATTTATTTGACATATGTGGCTTAATTCCTACTTAACATTTAGTATATTAAAAATTAAATTGCCTATTTTCTCCCTGATTTCCATAATTAATTGCTACTTGTCATTACTTGTTCCTAAATAATTTATAAATATTGTATGCATTGTTGCCTAATAATTTCTTACTGAATGTAATATTTATTGGAGTATTTTTATTATATTTAAGAGTTGTTAAATTATATGGTTGGAGCGGGTTGCACGCCGCAACGGAAATGAAAAGCAATATATTGGAGGATCGAGTTGCACGCCGCAACGGATTATATTTTAAGTTTATATTGTTGGAGCGGGTTGCACGCCGCAACGAAAATTTATTGAAGAATTATATTGTTGGAGTGGGTTGCACGCCGCAACGGAAATTTATTGAAGAATTATATTGATGGAGCGGGTGGCACGCCGCAACGAAAATTACTATTCATCATTTCTCGACTTGCGTGCGCAATCTGAATAATTTTCCGGAAAGTTTTTATATGAAAAATTGATTAAATTATGAAATAGAGCTTTAAAACTCAACTGAGTTGATTTTGGTCAATATTTTGAGCAAATAAACCCGGATCAGTATTTTAACAGTTCCAGTAGGCCCGTATCTTGATTTGAGACTTGGATGTATGCCCGCAATCGAATTCGGAGGTCCCTAGCTCAAATTATCGCTATTTAACGGAAACTAAAAATATAAAGGCTAAAGATTTCTAAAGTTTGACCACGAAGTTGACTTTATTGATATTGGACTCGGATTGAGATTCCGAAAATTGGAATAGCTCCGTTATATAATTTATGACTTGTGTGCCAAATTTGAAGTCATTCCGGATTCATTTAACATGTTTCGGCACAAGTTTGGTAAATTGAAAAGTTTGAAACTCATAAATCCGAATCGAGGTGTGAATTATAATTTTGATGTTGTTTGACGTGATTTGAAATCCCGAGTAAGTCAATATTATGTTTCGGGACTTGTTGGAATATTCGGACGAGGTTCCTAGGGGCTCGGGTGAGTTTCGGGGTTGTTTCGGACCATTTCTAGGTCATTTTTAGCTGCTGGTTTTTGGCTACAGCAGTGTGCTATGAGATAGCAGGTAATTCTCTGCGATCACGATTAGTAAAATGGGAGAAATTGCCCAGTGCTTCGCGATTGCGGATTACCTTTCGTGATCGCGTAGATTAAACTTCTGCTGCACTGACCCGACTTTGGAAGCTTATATCTTGCAATCTGTAAGAAATTTGGAGATGATCCAAAAATAAAAGTTGTAGCTCTTTGTGTCAAGTTTTCATAAAAGCAAATCATTTAGCATTTGGAGTTGTGTACAAAAAGTTATGGTTCGTACACTACAGACTGTCCGAGTAGATATTTGAAAATCGCGAAGAAGAAATTTGTGTTGCACAAGGTTGATTTTGACAGCTTATATATCAAAATGTATAAGGACTTAGGCAATGACCAAAACATAAAATTTGTAGATCTCGGTATTTAGTTTTCATAAAAATAAACCATTTATTATTTGGAGTTTTGTACAAAAAGTTATGTCTATTATACTAAAGGCTGTCTGGAAGAGTTGGAGATGGCTGTTGGAAAAATTTGTTCTTCGTGATCGCGGGAGAATGGCCGCGATCGCATAAGGTAAAACAATGCTGCAAAATTTTTGTGCTTTGCGATCACTGCAGTTTGGCCATGATCGCATATGGTAAATGACTGGGCAACAGAACTTATGTTCTGAAAATGGGATTTCGCCCCATTTTTTCATTATTCACGATTTTGAGCTCGGGTAAGGCGATATTTGGGCGATTTTCACGAAAAAATATTGGGGTAAGTGTTCCTTATCCTATATTGATTATATTTCATGATTCCATACTCATTTATATCATGAATCCATGAATTTAGGGAAGAAAAAAATAGATTTTTAAAATCTTCCAAAATGTAAAATGAAGATTTGAAGGTCAATCCGATATCGGAATTCGATAATTTTTGTATAGTTGAACTTGTATCGGAACAGGTGTTCATATTTTGTGAGTTTTTCCGGGATTCGAGACGTGGGTCTCACTGTCGAATTTTAAAATAAATTTCGGATTTTAATCCGAAAAATTAGTAAATTCATATGGAATAAATTCTTACAATTTGTATTTAGTATATTGAATTGTTTATGACTAGATTTGAGGCTTTCGGACACTAATTCGAGAGGTGAGGGTTTATTAGAATCTTGAATTTGGTTGCGAAGCGAGGTAAGTGTCATGGTTAACCTTGACTTGAGGGAATAGAACCCTTGAATGATTTGTTATATGAAATTCATGTGAACGACATATAGGCGAGGTGATGAGTATCTATACGTTGACAAATTAATTTTTTGCATAATTATTTGAAATCATAAATTATTTTAAGACATGAATTAATTATTATATTAATTTTTTCTCTCATATTCCATGCTCAATATTATGCCTTGAATCCATGCTATAATTGTTACATATTTATTTGACATATGTGGCTTAATTCCTACTTAACATTTAGTATATTAGAAATTAAATTGCCTATTTTCTCTCTGATTTCCATAATTAATTGCTACTTGTCATTACTTGTTCCTAAATAATTTATAAATATTGTATGCATTGTTGCCTAATAATTTCTTATTGAATGTGGTATTTATTAGAGTATTTTTATTATATTTAAGAGTTGTTAAATTATATGATTGGAGCGGGTTGTACGCCACAACGAAAATGAAAAGTAATATATTGGGGGGTCGGGTTGCACACCGCAACGGATTATATTTTACGTTTATATTGTTGGAGCGGGTTGCACGCCTCAACGGAAATTTATTGAAGAATTATATTGTTGGAGCGGGTTACACGCCGCAACGAAAATTGATTGAAATAATAGTTAGTTATGATTGCCGAGTTGGCTTCAACTGTTGAAATAAGTTACCTGTTTTATTTCTATTATTGTTGTTATTACTATTATTGCGTACAGATTAATGTAAGTGACCTACCTTAGCCTCGTCACTACTTCATCGAGGTTAGGCTCGACACTTACAGAGTACATGGGGTCGGTTATACTCATACTACATTCTGCACTTCTTGTGCAGATTTCGAAGTTGGTCCCAGCGGTGTACCATAAACTTGCTCGGATTCAGCTACCCAGAGGAGACTTGAGGTATAACTGCACATCGTCCGCAGTTCTGAAGTCCCCTTCTACTTTAATTTAGTTGTGTGCTTTTTTCAGACAGCTTTATTTTATTCAGACCCTTGTTTGTATTATTTTACAAGCTCATGCACTTGTGACACTAGATTCGTGGATGTATTGTGATGGTTCGTTTGTTATGGTCTTTCGCACTTTATTTCAGTAATGAACTTCTGTTTAATTTAAATTATTTTAAAATGATTAAAATTATTCTAATGTTGGCTTGCCTAGCAAGTGAAATGTTAGGCACCATCATTTCGGGTCATGACATCCAAGCCCCTGTTTGCAGAACTATGCTAAAAATTTATACTGATATTCTTATTGGGTATGTTAAAGTGAAGCGTAAGATCACCAAAAACAAAAAAGATATCAAACTTTTTAAAAAAAATATCTTTAAAGAAGGAACAACAATAACAATAATGTACTGCATGCTAATATACTTCATGAATCCATTAGATAGATATATTAAGTTAATCTTTAAGAGAAAATTAATGAAATTAAGAAATTATATTACCTCTAGAAAGACTTGTGTCCTTTGCGTGCAACAACAGATGATAAAGTGTATTATTAAAGAATGTCATCATATTAGGACGGATAAATAATTCACTGAAATAAAAAGCCAAGTTGACATAGTTTATTATCCGTTGATCGTTACAACTTACAATTTCTTTTATTTTTAATCTCGAGAAGGAACTCACGTTATGAAATTATAAAGAGAAAAAAATCTTAACAAAATTTAACACACAAAGTTGTTGAAGTAAATTACTCACTCCGCCAAAGCTCAAATGGTACTACGGGCAACTATGCGCTCCCTTCCTATGCGAGTTTGATGCTTCATTTACATAATTACCTGTTAAGTTAGACACATGAAACTAATTTTTTAGAGGAAACTATGTTACGAACGAAATTAATAAATTAGCTATAGAAGATTGATATTCTAAAGCAATAAATACCATCTAATTTGTTTGAAGTAAACATATATAGATTGTACCAAGTGTCCTTCTCCATGTCAATATATGTTTCAAAGTGCTTCTGTCCATGTCGAACGGAACTTCCACGTTGAGTAGAACACATATAGTATATGGCAAATAGATGAAAAGTTGGAACTTGATTGGTGTTAGAAGTTTGTCCAAATTCATAATTATTTCCAATGTTACTATTTTTAGTTGAATTAGAAGTTCTCGATATTGGTAGAGTAGGAATTTACAAGCAGTTCTATGTGGAGTTTAAATCGGGAAAGAATTCTATGCTTGGATAATATTTTAAATATTACAATCACATCCACCTTAACTCAAATATTTAAGGGCATAAAAGTCTATCAAAGTCTCAAGAATATTTTAGTCATTCAACATTTAACATAAATTATTCGTGCTTTTACAATAAAATATAGATAGAAGATATATAATCAAGAGTTCGCTAAGTAAATATTCAAGCGGTAATAGTGAAACTCTATTTCTATGTAAGAGAGATATGCATCATTTTATTAGTTTTTGTTTCCTCTAACATTCATCAACTTTGTTTCCCAATCCTTTATGCTGTAATCAGGTCCCTCCAATATCAAACCGATATCCAGGTACAACTCCAGTAGCATGCTGTGTTGATGGTTCTGCATTTTCTGGTAGCACAGTATTGTACCTGTAACCAGTGGCGGAACCACAATTTTTATTAAGGGATGTCAAAATATATAAAAGGAAACATACCAAAAAATCAAAATCAAGGGTAGAGCATAGGGTGGATTAAATGAAAATTTACAAGTTTTAATATTTTTAGACCAATTTCTTGAACCCATTTCTTGAAATGTCGGACATTAAAAAAAAGAACTAAAACGGAGTATGGCTGGTTGAGGCGGGTTAAGAACAATAATATATATTTCTAACCCGGGCAAATTAAAACTTTTGCGTTTAAGATTTCACCTTTTCACCGCCCTTCCCTGTTTGCCATCCTAATATATATTTCTACTGTTCCAGTTTATCATGTGATATTATTTTCTTATTGGTCTATTAAAAAAAGAACAGCGTATTTTCTATGTTTGTATATATATATAACATAGACAACTATTTAAATTTTACGATATGTTTAAGATCACAAATTTTAAATTTTTTTATTTCTTTCTTAAATTACGCGCATGTCAAGTTTATGTCACTTTTCAAGATACCTGATAGGCATTGAATTATTGGAAGCCACAGGGTGAAAGAATCCATCAGGCTGCTGCTGTCCAGATTGCCACGATGTCTGAAGGGCAACACCAAGTTCTTCAAACTGCAGTTAGAAGTTCAATAGACAAACCAATGTAGTTAAAAAGAAGAAAAACCAATGTAGACAAACCATAAAAGTCCCCACTATTATCTTTCATCTCAAATATGAACCTCCAACTAACGGCTAACAAGTCTGGCTCAGACATTTTCGATGGTAAAATCACGTAAACCAAATAAAAGATCCAAATTTACTCCTAAATTATCAAATCGGTTTATATATTACCTTTTGCAATAATTTGAAGCATGCCCTAGAATAATTGAAAGGTCCAAATATACCCATGAATAATTTAAAAAGTCTAAATAATAACCCTCCCCCTCCCCCATGTGGCTTGCACCATATCAATCGAATCAGATCAATTTTTTAACGGTGGCAAACTGTTAGTGAGGGGGAATATTTGAGATGAAAGATAACAATGAGACTTTCATTGACCGAAAGCTTAATGGAGGGAAAATATAAGACAAATTGCAAAGTCACGGGTGTATTTAATTTGGACCTTTTACCTTTTTTTTCTACAACTATGATGTCCAAGCTGTTAGCTTGAGTACACCTCGACTATTCTAGAGAATATATACTCGCTACCTCTACCAGCACATATACCAAGGTCCATCAATCTAGCACAAATCTACAATAAGGATCATTGTCTCCACATATGCAATAATATCATGTGCTATTAGCTTGACCTTTTTCTGTTCTCAAAAGCTGAATATTAAACTAAAAGTTTAGTCAAGGTATTATATTGTTACCTTCATCCTCAAAGATTTGTTCATTTCAGTAAGAGATTCTTCCTGTTAAAGAAGCAAATAGGAAATGTCATGTTCCCTACACACAGTTGAGCAAATAGCAATATCATCTTGATTTCTTAGGAATGAGTATACTGTATGTAGTATGTACCGTTTGTTGAAGTTCAGTAAGTTGATCAAGCATGTGTTGTGTCTGAAAACAAGTTAAAATGAGTCGATTTAGACCTTCTTAAATAATTACACAACTTTTCTTTAATTTCGAATAGAGTAATAAGATGTTGCTTTTTTATCTTGAATTTGTATTTAGGAAGAAGTTATCTATGTTAGAAAAAATATTTTGCCTTCACTGTTGCAGAGATGGTAGTAAAGATCGTCTAGGATTTTACAAAGCCAAATAAAATTGAATACCAACAATTAATCCGAATTTCCCACGGGAACAAATTTTGTGAGTTGTAAAAAAAAACAGAGAGAAAAGAAGAAAAAATATTGTAGTTGTTTTTATGTATATCGTCATTGGAGAGACAACATGTATTTATAATACATCTAGAAGTCTATTAAAATCAACAGACTTGACTCTTCCCAACAGACACCTTTTAAAACTAAAAGTCACCTTTTAAATTTAAAATAAAACATTTTAAAACGTTTTAATTAAATAAAAATAATATGTGACTATTAATGTAGTCACACTTGGTTTCCCTCCAAATATCTCTTCAATTATTCAAACTCATTAAGATAAGAAATGCTTTAAAACACCTCTACCATTCTTTATTTTTCCAATGAGGGACAAGCTCCCTAATGAGATATGTTATATATGTCATGACCCAGGTTAATATTGTATAGGCTTAACTTAACCATGGTTAGATTAGTAGTAACTATAGTTAGGTGTTAATATTGTAGTTAGTTGGTTATTGTTGATATAAATATAGGTGTGTGCAGTGTTTTGGCATATACAGAAAATAGAGGTTCTTCCCTCATCTCTCGTCTCTCTCTGCTATGTTTTCCCTTTGTGAAAATCATTTCTCATCTTGCAAATTCATAAAATTGACATGGTATCAAAGCGTTCCCGAAGATCCGACCAAATTGCATATGCACTTGACCGGAACAATACTCAACTCAGCAAATCGCGACTCGCATTGTGCATGATCCACGATTTCACAATAGCATTGCAGCGATCCCATAGATTTACATAATTATTTCCATAGGTATTGCGTGTTATTGAACTATAAACCCTAACTTGTTCTATGTAAGCAACGAAACTTCCATCGCTCGGCTCCAGATCATGTAATTTTCCATTCCATGCAGCTGAAAACCAAGAGATAATCCTCATGGCATGTCCGATGGATGCAAATACAATGGATGATTATGATCTATCACAATCGTAGATCGATCTATGACTTCGTCTCCGGCCATGATTATTTAGGGTTCCGGCGAGTGACTGATGATTCCGACTGAAAAATTTGAGAAATGAACGATGAATCTCTTGTTTTCAACAATTCTTAGTGAAAACCTCTGGATTCAATCGTCTAAAAGCTTTGATACCATAATGAGAATATGTGATATATGTCATGACCCAGGTTAATATTGTATCGGCTTAACTTAACCATGGTTAGATTAGTAGTAACTATAGTTAGGTGTTAATAATGTAGTTAGTCAGTTATTGTTGATATAAATGTAGGTGTGTGCAGTGTTTTGGCATATACAGAAAATAGAGGTTCTTCCCCCATCTCTCGTCTCTCTCTGCTATGTTTTCCCTTTGTGAAAATCATTTCTCATTTTGCAAATTCATTAAGCCTCCTATTTGGCTTAAGGATTACATTGGGCCACAACAGAAGTCCAATTCTTCCACTGCAGTTCATTGTCAATATCCTATTGGTGATTTTGTTCAGTATACAGGATTATCAACTTCATATCAAGCTTACATCACTCAGTTGTCTTCTGAGATTGAACCAAGTTCTTACCATGAGGAAGCTAAGGATGTGAAGTGGATTGAAGCTATGAAAGCAGAGATACAAGCATTGGAGGACAATAAAACATGGGAATTGGTGCCATTGCCTCCAAACAAAAGGGCAATTGGATGCAAATGGGTGTACAAAATCAAGTACACATCCAGTGGGGAAGTTGAAAGATATAAAGCTCGATTAGTGGCTAAAGGGTATAGTCAAAAGGAGGGACTGGATTATCAAGAAACTTTTTCACATGTAGTAAAAATGGTTACTGTCAGGTATGTCGTATCCATAGTAGCAACCAAAGGTTGGACCCTCTATGAAATGGATGTTTACAATGCCTTTTTGCAAGGAGATTTGGAGGAAGAAGTGTACATGACCTTACCTCAAGGTTTTTCTCATCAACAAGGAAAAACACAGGTGTGTAGGTTACTTAAGTCACTCTATGGACTTAAGCAAGCTTCGAGGCAATGGAACATTAAGCTCACCACAACACTTCTTAATTCAGGATTCAAGCATAGCCATTTTGACTATTCCCTATTCACTAAGAGACAAGACTCTCATATTGTAATTGTTTTGGTCTATGTTGATGACCTTCTGATCACTGGGGATGATGCAGACCTTATTTCTGCTACTAAACAAATTCTGCATCAAAACTTTAAAATCAAAGACATGGGGGAGTTGAGGTATTGTTTGGGCATTGAATTTGCTAGAAACAAAGAAGGGATCCTGTTATACCAGAGAAAGTATGCTCTTGAGCTCATCTCAGATGTTGGCCTGGCAGGATCTAAACCAGTTCATGCTCCTGTTGAGCTAAATCAGAAACTCACCTCGGTGACTTATGATGCTCATCTGGCTCTTAAGGATGATTGTTTACTTGAAGATCCTGGTGCTTATCAAAGACTGATAGGTAGACTTCTTTATCTGACAATTACAAGGCCAGACATCTCCTTTGCTGTGCAGTGCCTAAGTCAGTTCATGCAAGCCCCCAAGCATTCTCACATGGAAGCTGCTCTTAGGGTGGTTAGGTACATCAAGCAAAGTCCAGATCTTGAGATTCTTATGTCAGCTACTGTATCTACACAATTGAAGGCTTATTGTGATGCTGATTGGGCAGCATGTCCTAATACCAGGAAATCAGTCACTGGTTACTTGGTACAATTTGGTGATTCCCTCATTTCATGGAAGTCCAAGAAGCAAAGTACCATTTCAAGAAGTTCCGCTGAGGCAGAGTATCGTAGCCTAGCATCCACAGTGGCCGAGATTGTGTGGCTTGTCGGTTTATTTGATGAGTTGGGGGTTACTCTCACATTGCCAGTTCCCCTTCATTGTGACAGTAAATCAGCAATACAAATTGCTGCCAATCCTGTGTTCCATGAACGAACGAAACATATTGATATCGATTGCAACTTCATCCGTGAGAAGGTTCATTTAGGCTTAGTTCAAACAGCCTACTTGAGGTCTACTGAACAACCAACTGATATCTTGACCAAGGGCTTGAGTAGTCTTCAGCACACTCACTTACTGTCCAAGCTAGGTGTCAAGAATATCTTCATTAGTCATAGCTTGAAGGGGGTAATGAGATATGTGATATATGTCATGACCCAGATTAATATTGTATAGGCTTAACTTAACCATGATTAGATTAGTAGTAACTATAGTTAGGTGTTAATATTGCAGTTAGTCGGTTATTGTTGATATAAATGTAGGTGTGTGCAGTGTTTTGGAATATACAGAAAATAGAGGTTCTTCCCTCATCTCTCGTCTCTCTCTGCTATGTTTTCCCTTTGTGAAAATCATTTCTCATCTTGCAAATTCATAAAATTGACACTCCCTTATCTCAAAAACTAATCTAAGAATCTCCCACTTAAATTTCCTCGAATATTATTTCAGGTAATTGAAACTACTCTTGTTTTGCGACATAAACCACAAAAATTGATTTGAAAAATATCTTAAAGTATAATACATACCCTTGTTGACCTTATTTGCCTAAGTGATGAATCCAGTTGACGTTCAAGCTGTTCCAGGTCTTTGTTGCTCAATTGTCCCAAATCTTCTCCTAGCACATGCCTAAAGAGTATGAAAAAGTTATTCTGAACATGTACAATCTGAAAAATAAAAAAATAATAAATAAAGAGAATGCAGTGAAAAAATCTTTCCAGAAATCAGAGGTGGAGTCAGAATTTCAACTTTATGTGCTATGTATTTTAGAACGACGACTTAAAGTGCTAATAACTGGGTTTTAAATTTAATGTTTGAATATTATATGAAAAATAGTTTGAGGTGGAGTCAGAATTTCAATTTTATGTGTTATGAATTTTAGAACGACGACTTATTAAAGTGCTAATAACTAGGTTTTAAATTTTATATTTGTACATATTTAATGAATTTCTTAACATAAATACACTATTTGAGCAAAAGTTACTGGGTTCGACCGAATCCGCTGCCGGGCTTCTAGCTACGCCCAGGGGCAGCTTAAGTATATGTATGGCTTAAAGCCAAAATTTAATGTGAGGCCTAAATTTTTATATATCAAATTTTTTTTTACCTTTTACATAAAAAAATCTACTTTTGTACTAAAAGTATTATATATTTTTTTAAAATACCTATGAATCTGTTATTTCTAAAAAATAGGCCTCTCAAATTTGGGAGCGTAAGGCGTATGCCTTATTATCTACAACATTAGAGTCGTCTCGGGCTACGCCCCGGTAGAAATCCAGATAAGGTTATGTAGACCAAATATTTGTCCGTCCTTTCCCTGGACCTCACACATAACACGAGCTTAGTGCACCGGCTGCCTTTTTAGGATAAAATAGAGAATGCAGCGATGAGTTAAAAATTACATCTAGTCTTGGTGTAATAAGTATTTAACTCACCTTTGAGATTGTTGTAACATTTCCACTCTTGTTTTAAGGTTCAAATACTCCTGGTACGTGTTCTGTTTTCACAAAAGCATAGCAAGCAAATCAATTTGCTCAAAGTTAGTAATCAACATTAACTTTTACTAACTATTTTCAGGTGAAAAGCTGAACTATTTCCAAAATTTTCAACAAACTTTAATTTGAGGAATTATGATGCTCGAGTAAGAAGAACGAACCTGTGAATCTGTTGAAGGTTGGCTTCCTTCCACTGCAGCATAATTGTATCTGTGGTATCTCTCCAGTGTCGTGGGCATACTAAAAGGGCAAGTTACAGAATAATATNGCATACTAAAAGGGCAAGTTACAGAACAATATATAAGACATTGGTTAAGATAATTAGATGTATTTTTTGAATTATCATAAACATGTTTTGTTGTACTTTTAATCATTGATTAGGCAAGAGCCATAGGTTTCTGAAGGTAAGTGTACTAAAGCAAGAGAATGGAACAACTACTAAGTAATGAAAACAGAATTTAAAGCTCCAAAAAGTGTTGGACACTAAACTCTACTGATGAGACCCTCTTTTATACCACATGTTGATTATAACAACAGTCACAACTATAAATAGACTCAGTGACAATTATAAGGCAATACACTATGCTCTCTCGTGATTCCTACTATAATCAAAAGACTAAAATCTCTACTAAGATAGATTGCCAAATTAATTAATTACGAGTTTTGCCTTTTAATGCGCTAGTCACTTAGGGGGTGATTGGGCCAAGTCGAGTCGGAAATGCTTTGATAACTCAAGGTTGATATTAGGGAAAGGAGAGTGAGGGGAAGAGGAGCCGTCCTTGGCCTGCATTTTATAGTTAGCTACAACAGACAGACATGATTTTGTAGTTCAAGCAACTTCGTTACTTCTGTGTACCCCTTTTGAAGGTTCCTTATAAGGACCTATTCGCTCTGCGTAGATCGTAATCTATCACTTTTGACCACTTGATTGCTCCTCCTTTCAGTAGGCACCATGAGAGCACCTTAAATTACATACTAGACTTCAAAGATTGTCACCAATCCGCAAACTGAATGTCATAGTTAGCTATTTAGAAATATATTAACCTTAAAAAGATGATTTATAATCACATGTCTTTTTCTCTTCCATTGTTTCTTCAATATTCACGTTCTCTTCAGTGCCAAACGCAGTTATAATTCTCTCTTCCAGTTACTACTCTCCGCACTATCCCGAGCTTATCAGTATTTTTAAGCTTTGGCAATCTTCTTCACTGATCTCACTTTAATTACCTAAACTGTAATCAGATATTATATACCACAAAATGGACATATGAACATGGCAAATACTCAATGGTTGATAGATAGATACCCTATATATGGGGTTTATAGTATACCACGACCAAACTTTACATGCTCGGGATACATTAGTTTGATGTAAACTTCAGATGGTGGTAAGTTTTGTCCTAAATATATCTTCTTCACCTATTATATATAGTATCTGTATGCATGTACATGTCACAGTATTTATGCGCACACGAAACTTCCAACTATATGTTTCTTTATCATTGCTGAAGTGTGTGGTCATCATATACAAAAGTTTATGCTTCATTTACTTAATTAAACATTCATCATCTAATGTTTTATTTACTTCGTTAATGTTTTTGACCTAGAGAACTAGGACATATTAGGCATATGTTTGTTACCTGATATTTCTACACGTGCCTTTCTTGATCTTTGATAAACTAGGGTTATTACTTACATATAAATCACATCTTGGTTATTGTTATTAATTAAGAGAATTATGTACATCTAAACATCTTCATTTCTGCTACTTTCATCTTAACTCCTAAGGACAAAGCTCATGAGTTGGGTGAAAAGTTGCTGGCTATCCTGAGAGAGTAGCGGGGACGCGAGTGGTATGTGGGCATTGACGGCGAACTGCATTAGGGAGGTTGCGAGAGAACTATTATGGGTCTCGAAGGGTTACTCTAGCGGTCATAAAAGAAACTGGTGGTGGAATGAAGAGGTCCAAGGAAAAGTGGAAGCAAAGAAAACGGCATATTTGAAATTAGTGGAGAGCACATAAAAGGAGGAGAAAAGGATGAACAAAGAAGAGTATAAGAAGGCTAAGAAGGAGGCGGAATTAGCACTCACGGAGCCCAAGACTACAACATTTGGTTGTCTGTATGAAGAACTGGGGGACAGAGGTGGGGACAAGAAGCTATTCAGGCTGGCCAAGGTAAGAGAAAGGAAAGCTCATGAATTGGATCAAGTGAGGTGCATCAACGACGAGGAAGGCAGAGTTTTAATGGAAGATTCACAGATTAAACGAAGATGGCAAACTTACTTCCATAAACTCATGAATGAAAAGGGGGGCAGGAATATCGTTCTGGGTGATTTGGAGTAATCCGAGGATCATCGTGATTTTAGGTATTGTCAGCGCATAAATATTGAGAAAGTTATGGGGGCTATGCGTAATATGAGCAGGGGTAGAGCGATTGGGGCTGACGAAATTCTGGTGAAATTTTAGAGGCACGTAGGTAGAGCAAGCTTAGAGTGCCTGATTGGGTTGTTTAAAGTTATTTTTAGGATGAAGAAGATGCCCGAAAACTAAAGGTGGAGTACAACGATCCCGTTTTACAAGAACAAAAGTGATGTTGAAATTTATAACAAATATAAGGGTATTAATTAAGTTACTTACTAATACTATAAAAGTTTGGGAGAGGGTGGTAAACGTGAGGGAAAGGAGGACTATGTCTATATACGAGAACCGGTTCGGATTAATGCAAAAACATTTGACTACGGAAGACATCCACCTAGTCAGGAGGTTAGTGGAATAGTACAGGGAAAGGAAGAAGGATTTGCATAGTTTTTATTTGTCTTGGCAATGGACGCACTGAGGCACCATATTCAATGAATGGTGTCATGGTCTATATTTGTGATGACCCGATAGGTCATCTTTAAATTTAATATTCAATTTTATGCTTCGAGATCTCGAATAGCACCATTTAGCATTCTTCGACTTGCGTGCACAGTCAGTATATTTTTTTTAAAAACGTTTATGTGAAATAGTGCTTCAAAACTCATTTGAGTTGATTTCGGTCAATATTTTGAGCAAACAGATTTGGATTAGTATTCTGACAGTCCCGATGGGTCCGTATCGTAATGTGGGACTTGGGCGTATGTCCGGAATCAAATTCGGAAGTCCCTAACTCGAATTATCGTCATTTGACGGAAATTAGAAACCTAAAGGTTAAATATTTCCAAAGTTTGATCGTAAATTTGACTTTGTCGATATCGGACTCGGATTGAGATTCCATATGTCATATGGGACTTACCTGCAAAATTTGAGGTGATTCCAGATTGATTTGACATGTTTCGACGCGAGTTATAGAATTTAAAATTTCATAAACTCATAAGTCTGAATCGACGTGCGATTTGTCATTTTTTTCGTTGTTTGACGTGATTTGAGACCTCGAGTAGGTCCGCGGTATGTTACCGGACTGGTTGGGATATTTGAACGAGGTCCCGAGTGACTTGGGTGAGTTTCGGATGAGATTCGGATCATTTAGAGCATGTTGAATGAAGGTGGTTCTGGG